ATCTCAGGACAAACAAGCTCAAACAGAACAACAAACTTTATCTCAGGTCGATTCTGCTCTCCCCTCTCTGTGTGTATATGTCTCCATAGCTCTCTGCTCCTGTCTATCCTTGGGTAATCTCGGGCGTATCAGCAGCAGCTCCACTCCTTCATCTGTGGGATTACAGCCAGAGAAACAAAGGCACTTAATTACTGCTGAGGCAACACAGTCTTATGTATGTCTGCTGTGTGAGGGATTCTCCGTCTTACAGTTGGGGAAAAAAAAGAAAGCAGAGTATTGTTTCCAACTTGATCCACTGCACATCCTTGTTTGTATTCACTCCCATTATTTGTAATTGTCGCGCAGACTAAAAGGTAGGCAAATACACCTGTTTACAGTATAATTAGAGCTGAGAAATGAGCGTGGAGCTGGGCTTTCACAACACTTTCACATTAAATGAGTCGTGCTTACCCACTGTTAAACACTGATCCTTGATCTCCATTACCAACTGAAATGTAAGCAAAAAGCTTTTGGCTATCATTTCAAAATGGATTTTTAATGTTTCCTGCTGCCCTAAAGCCTCACTGCTTCAAGCAGACCCATTAGTTCAAACCGATCCATTAGAGCCCAAAAACAAAACAAGATCCTCTCGAAGAAGCTTTCTCTGTTGGTGAGGACAAAGGGAACCTCTGTCCGTGTGCATCCAGCATCTCACTACTTAACCGGGTGTCGGGATCACTAGGTCTGCTCGTTTTCGGTCTTTTGAGCACCAGAGTGCTGGCATCTCGTAGCTGGGGGCTTTCTTCAAAGTGACTTCCTCGTGAACTGCTTCAAGGTGACCTGTTAACCAGCTGTCCACGTCACTGGAGAAAAACCCCAGAAACTGAAGGAAGAAGGACCCAGAGAAGCCAAAATGTGATAGGAAATGCAGAAAAATATCCCATTCAACTAATATTTTGTCTCTGAGATGTAGAGAGACAAAGAGATGTTGATGTAACCTTTCTGGAACAACGCTGCTGATCATGAACTGATCTCATTTGGATATTTATGGCCCACAAATTCAGGCAGCTGTGAGCAGAACATAAAGTGTGAAAAGAGCAGCATGTATCCTGTCTATTTCTTAGCCATCCAGCATTAACGGCAGGATAGACAGAAAAGGCCCAGAGCTGAGACGAGCCATTTTAGCCATGACAAGCAAAAAATCTGAGAACATTTTGAGGGAGGAAGAAATTAGCTTTTCCACCTCCTTTCTTCATTGGTCAGTTGAGATACAAGAGGCTCTTGGGCTGCGCTGTCAGGGGATTACACATATCGCAGGTTTCATGTCAGGGAAATTTGTGTCAGCTTCTCAAAGCAGGCCCTCCTCTTTCACACTGCGCAGCAGAATCGGATAAACTGGCCAAAGAGGACTCTGACAGAGAGCGCCACCCAAAAACCAGATGCTTTTGGCCCAATGAAAGCAGTAGAAGGAAGCCCTAAAAGAGAGGCCTCTGTGTTTACTCTTCAGGGGAATTTAAAGCACGTTGCGTTTGTGTTATATTTGACTAGCAACGCCATTAGTCACAGTCACATTTCTCTGACCTAAAGGGTGCTGCTGCCTCTCGGTCTCTGTGTTGTGATCAAACACCACTTCGCCACGGCCTGCTTTGTGCTGACCCTGCTTGTCTCCAGTCTCTCTCCCCCATTCTCTTCCTCTGTGATTGTTCTTTCGAGTTGCAGGCTGCCAATACTGCCAGTCAAACTGACGTTGATGATGTCACGGAGCTCTGCACAAGCACGAGAAAGACATCACGAGGACTTAGATATGTCAAGCCTGGCCAGCTTTATTTGAGAAAACAGAAAGTTAATGCAGAACCGCATGTATCTGCCTCCTGTGATGCTGCCCAATGCACCAGTCGTGTTCTTCCCGTTGAAGTTTTGATGAGTGAAATAAAAGCTAAAAGCAACGGCATCGATTGAAGATAAGCATCGGCACACTTGTCTTCCTGTTGAGGGCGAATAAAAGCTCAGGGGTGTAAAACGGAGGCGTTTCCAATCGCCTCGCAGGGACATTTCCAAATCCTGTCAGGTCACAGCCTATAGGCGGCCGCTCTCTGTCCCCGGCAGGCCTCGGGATAGAGCGCCCATTGAGGATAAAATGCAAATGTTACAGTGGTGAACGGAGGGGCCCACAACTGAAGCGCTATTCTTCTGAGCCGGTTTAAGACTGGCCCTCTGTGTCTGTGCCACCCACAGACACACAACAGTCATCACTCTGACCATTCAGTTGGGTTGATGAAGAAGGTGGGGGGTCGTGGAAAGGCCTTTTAACCACTGGGGAGGGTACCAGAGCAAAGACCAGGCCGAGGGTGCCAGAAGGCTCATCTGGTGAATGTTTTTGTGCTAGAGAACGAAACTTCCCCGTCTATCTGGCCATTTTACACCTCTGCCAAGTGCCATGAAATACAACTGGTTCGATTCAAAGTAATCCGAATGGCAAACAGGCCGACAGAGAAAAACGCAGCGCTGAAAACACGCTCCACCTCATCTCTTGCTTTGGTGGAGCAATTAATCTAATATTGGATGTGAATCAGGCACTCCTGGGGCACAACTGACTCAGAAGACAGTCAGTCGTCTGGTCGTGAAGAAAATATTTATCCTTGAGATGAGGTCTGCTGATTGTTGAAATACATCCAGATGTCGTAAACACTTAAGTGCATGATGGGGGAAAAAAGGGATACATACGAGAAGTGGGTCAGTGGCAGTTTAGAGTGTATGTGGTCAGAATAATGCGTTTTTTTATTGATTCTTATCACTTGTTGCTTCCTGAGCAGTGACCCAACTGGAGCAAACAAATCCAAACATCACAATGCGATTAAAGTCAATACTGTGATTGTTGCAGTTTAACAAGTGAAATATTGAATCGTGCTCAGAAGTCACTCTGTTTGCATTCGCTGGGTTTTTGTTGTCTGTTTTCTGTATGTTTGCCTCATTGTTTTTCTCTTCGTTATCAGATGAGCACATAAGGAAACTGTTTAAATGACACCACAGCTGTGTGAGGGAGCAAACAGTGTTTGCTCTGTTGCTGATGGCTGTGAGGATTTCAGGAATGGGCCTGCAGAGATATCTTATTCGAAGCTTTACGTCAGAGCGCAACTGCCAGTGTGTCTGATGTCTCCCTCATTTGTGTTTGTTTTACGCTGTGATGCAACAGCTTGGTTGTCTGAATCCAGCAATTATAAATTCATCCCAAAGCATAGATCTCACAATAAGTAACGCCTGGGTGAGCCACCCTGGAGAGAGGTGTCATTTCTCCGTGTAGCTATGGCTACGCAGCGCCGGCTGCCGCGAGAAGCACAGAGATAGCACGGTGCTTTCAAAGATCCTTTTCACAGACAGCTGCTTGAAGGCAGCGCACGTGATGAATGAATTTCTGAGTGGGTGGCTCAGACGCTGTGCACCGGCCCCGCATGCGTGTCCTCCTGTGTGGGTGTTGCTGCGTTTGTGTCTGCCACCCCCACAGAAGCAGATGAGGGCCCACGGTTGTGGTCGGTCATGCATGCTGCTTTTTAGCACCGTCATCATCAGTCATGAAACAGAAGCGCTGCACTTTCTCGCTGCGATGCAGAGCTGCCTTCGCACAAACTTACCTCATCGTATGCGCTTTGAATCTCTCGAGCTGCTGCTCAGACCCTTTATCCATAGCCTTGATTAGCGGTTTCCAGTGTTATTGTTACAAGTTTAGTCACAATGTTTTTGCAGTTGGCCTTCAAGGTCAGTTTTCAGCTTTACTTGGAGATAATCAGGGATGTGATGGGCGAGAGAGCTCTTTACCCACTCTGCTCGGTTCCCGTGGATAAAAAACCTCCCTAAATGTGATGAATGCATCATTAAATGTACAGTCTATGTGGTTTTGTACATGTTTTACTTGCTGTGAATGTACGGTAGGTGTGTGTTTTCTGACAGAGCCTTGAATTAGGCAACCTCATATTTTCAGTTTAAATGCAGCTGAAAATGCCTCTAACACGATTAACATTAAGGCCCTGTCAACTTAACAGTGTCAGCTGGTCCTCTTGAATCTTTGTCATACTTTAATACAATACTACAATACTGTTGATATAAAAGTAAAGTCAGTAAAGAACACAGCAGTGATCAGTATGGGAGAGGTTTAAGTCCGTTAGCTCTATAAGAGATATTCTTGTGTATAAAACATTGACAGGGAGGAAATGACAGTCTTTGAAGAAGTGATCATCCCAGAAAGTTCACCCTCAGTTCAGACCATCCAGTCTGCACGAGCTTCATCCCAGACTCAGTTAACATGTTCTGCCATTTCTAACCTTCTGTATTGGAAATGATCACACGTGTACACCTGAATTCACCGCGGAAAGGTTATCTTAAACTTAAATGTCAGGATGTTGTGCTTAGAAATACTTCAGGTGATCAAAATTTGACATGCAGCCAGCCAAAGTAGGCCAGGGTCTAACATGAGGCCCTCCGCCTGAACAGACTCAGCTGAAATTGGGTCATACTGCAGGACAACAACAGAATGTCTATAAAGGAAGACCTGAAGATGATTTGCAACCTCAAACCGAAAAGGGTCGTGCCGCATTCTTTGTCTTTTTCAAATCTTGACGGCACTTATCTTTTCCTACTGTCCCCACCTTGAAATTTAAGAAGGCATTAGATTAATAGGGCTCGTTTGCGAAAAGAACAAACTTAATGTGCTGACAGATTGTGAATACATCAGTAAGACAAGGAAGGCACATAAACTAAATTTCAGGAAGTTTTGCGGTTTTTCAAATCCAGGCCTGCGCTTACTAAGACCGCACACAGGCATTTGAAGCACTCTGCCTAGTGGTTTCTATTTACCACTATTTATCTCATCACTATAAAATGGAAAAATAGCAAGAAGAATTTCTCCCTCTGTGACTCTAAATGAACGGAACAAGAGAAAAACTGGAAGATAATGGCTTCACTCTTATGTCCACCTTGCCGACACAGTGTGTGCCGTACGGTGTTATCTGTGTCTATGATCTCTACAGGGTGCTGTGGTGATGCTGTGTTTCCCCACTGACTCGGTCTGGGATGCTGTCCAGAGCTCAGCTTCAGCACCAGCATCACACGCAGAATCACACCCGCCCACACAGTTTCTCCTGCTCCGCTACACCTGCCTACGCACTCTTTCTCAGGGCCGGGGAGGCACAAGACACACTGACAGTATGGGCATACATATCTTTTTTCACCACTTCTAAAGGTGGTGATGATCAGAGCAATTATTTTTTATGCCTATGAGGCTTTAGGTTGCTTATGTGTTAACATTCCTCTCACCCGGATGAGTCTCAGCGAAGCTGCGCGATTGGGAGCTAAACTGTTTATATCTGTAAAGCGCACACGCTCGTGCTGGTGTGTGTGGGTGACGCTTGTTGTGATCGCATGATTTAGTATGGGTGATGTGATTATATGAGCGTGAACCACAAAGGAGGAGGGAGAGGGTAACAGTGGAGCTTTCACACCAGGTTGTAGAGGTCAGCTCCTTCCAGCTCTGACTCTCATCATTCTAGAGCTGCTCCTATGTTAACCTGTTATGTGCAGCCATATGTCCAACATGTGAAACAGCAGTATTCATATCAGGTGCATATGCCAATACGAAATATTAGGAACATTAGTGAAAGAGTCCTGTAATGTTTACTGATCTCGTGTGCCTCGATCAATTATAAGCACTAAGGTGAACAGTTTCTTTCTGTGTTCTGTGGGGTTTTTAATTTTAGTTTGGAAGAGGTTACAATGAGCGTCTGGCCCACACCTGAAGGAGCGCTTTTTGTCCGCCTGCCACCCTGACACTGAAGGAGAGCAAAGCTCAGTGTTGCTGTGCAGACCTGGAAGACGTTGAACATCAGTAACAAATCCCCGTTGCCACACTGAGCTTTCAAGCCAACGTGTTAACAGAAATCATCCAGTATGTTATCTTTTTCTCTGCCTTACAACCCATGGGATGCGTTCCATTACTGATACAAGGAAGAATAATGTCTTTACAAGCTGCTTTTGGGAGAGGCCCACACATCAGCTCTGTGACGTGATTGTGATTTATTATTGCAATCGTGACCATCAAAGCAGCCACGTTGTTTTATATTTGTTTGGGTTCAGGAGATCTAACTTGCTAAATCTGAAATCCAGCTTCAGGGGCATTTCAGATGGATTTTCCTTTTTGGCAATTCAGACATGTCACATTTTTTAGAAGCAGCAACATCTGCGTTCAAATGGAGCAAACCTCCATAAGCAGCCCAGCACTGTTGTCTGTCCTGGATTTTAACTGTTTGGGTATCGATGATATACTGATATATCTGTCAGTCTGCTTTCAGTTGACTGCTTTGATTCAATACCATTTTCACAAATCATTGCACCGCTCTGCTGGAAACCCTGCCAAGTATGATACTAATCATTACAAACCACCACATTACATGAGAAGCATCCTGTACACGGCCTGTTGTCATTTAGCCTGATTCATTCTGGCCTTCAGACGGTGCCTGTGTGCAGCACTTGGGTAATTATCTCAGTCATTACCAATCATCGCTTGGACACTGGGCAGACATGTCACATTTCCTTATGAGAGGAAATGAGAGAACTATGATGAGAATGATATTGCTAATCAGGCCAAAGTCCTGTCTTTGTCATGGAGTTAAGGGGTATTTAGACAAAGCAGCAGACCACCTCACGCTAGGCCGATTCTAATTTGTGTTCCGTTCCCTCTGCCCTCCCTCACATTAACCGAGGCCTGCCATGTTATGCCAGCCATGGTGCGTCCTCCCCTTTTGTCTTCTTGATCTTCCCTTTATCTCTGTTCTCATCAGTCATTCAGCCTGTATCTCCTGCTCCCTTCATATTCAATTCCCGTCCTCCACTTCTATTCTACCTTCCTCTGTTTCTTGCGTCGTCTCTACCAGGCTCCTCTCCGTATTTGCGCTTCTTGCAAAGAGACTACAGAGAAGATCCATACTGGATCACTGTTTGCCGTCATCCTCTGGTTTGATAGTGTTATTGCCTTTGTCCACCAGGGTTTCTGTAAGCCTGACCCCATCATTCCCACATTTCTATTTCCTGTGAGAATACGAGACGGTCAGTCCACCAGAAAGCAGCGGAGATTCAGCGGTGACGTCTGCATCAGCTAGAACAGGAGGACCTAACCTTTGTCCCTCATTTTGCCCTGGTGGCTCCTTCCTCCCTGTTTTCAGGATGAATACCTGAGATTGATCTAGTACACTTAAGAAGTTTTCATGTTTAGCCTGTGTAAGCGGGGATCTCTTCGGGTACTCTGGCTTCTTCCCAAAGTCCCAAAGCATGCATGTTAGGTTGATTAGAAACTCTAAATTGCCGGTCGGAGTGAATGTGAGTGTGTGTGGTTGTTTGTCTCTGTGTGGCCTGTGATGGCGACCTGTTAAGGGGGGACCCCGCTTCTCCCCCAACGACATCTGGGATAGGCTGCTCATTCTCACTCACTGTCAATTTTGTTTGTCCCTTTCAGGGCCGCTGCACACGAGAGAACTGCAAATACCTCCATCCGCCCGCTCACCTCAAGACCCAGTTGGAGATCAATGGCCGAAATAACCTGATCCAGCAGAAGACAGCGGCCGCCATGTTGGCTCAGCAGATGCAGTTTATGATCCCTGGCACCACCATGCAGCCTGTGGTTAGTGCTGCTCCGTTGCTGCTGTAAATGACAGGCGATAAGGTTGATCTGGTCCTGTTCACACACAATATTTACATTACATTATTTCGTATTTTGCAGGATAATATATAAAAATATATATATATGTATATATATCCCTCTGAGATATGTTTTGTTTATCTCGTCGTCTAAAGAAATGAATGCACTGAGGTGGTTGTTGATTTAGAATTCAGCCGTCGCTGCACCAGAGCTAACCGACAGGCAGGCATGACTCGTTGACAGTATATGCTAGTTGAGTCATGTAATGTCAGGTCGGCTCGGTCGCAGTTCGTTTGATTAGATTTACTTTTATCTAACTCATCAGATTGCATCTGTTCTTATGGGATTGCGTCTCAGCCGAGAAAGACTATAATTTCTTCCAGGGTTTGTCATTGTAGCGATCCCCTCGTGCAGTGCACAAAACATCCCGGCAGCTCTCTCTGGGGTTGTTATTTTTCGGCAGTCTGCGGTAAACCGTGGTTGCCCTGGACAGCTGCCAGGTGTGGGTGTGCTTAAGTGCTTCAGTGTAATGCAAGGTGTAACTAAAACAGAACATGCCTGCTCAGCAAAGCCTTTCCAGGATACACAGAGGTTAGAAAAATCCTTTTTTGCTTCTCACTTTCTTCTGTCTACGTTTTCTTTCAGAGACATTCGCTCTGTTCTCTCAGCTCTCTGTCTACCTTTCACCCCCCCAGCACCACCCCACCTCTCCTCTCATCTGCCTCAGCCCCCTCTGCAGACAGCTGCGCTCTCTGTTCATTTGTCTCTGACTTCTCTCCCACCTTTCCATCTCGATGCCCTCTTTCTGCCTCTGCATCCCGCTTTTCCTTCCTTCGTCCATAGTTTCACATCTGTGCCGTCCCACTGTTTCTTTACCATTTTAATTAAGTTTGTGGAAAGAGTCACAGCAGCAAAATGTTTCAAAGAGTGGTCAAAGAGCATGAGATGACAGGGGAAAAAAAGTGGTGGTAAACGGCTGCTCTCCTCTCCATTTACAGCAGACGTTTCCAGTCAGCCAGGGCCTGGGCTCCAGCGCAGGCCTGAGTTACGCACCTTACCTGACTCCGATGTCCCACAGCATGGGCCTGGTACCCACCGACATCCTGCCCAGTACCCCAGTTATTGTCCCTGGCAGCCCACCCGTCTCAGTAACCACCGGCTCGTCATCCAACCAGAAACTTCTGCGTACTGACAAGCTGGAGGTGACAAAACACACCGGAAGCGCTCACACGTAGATGCTGATGAGAACTAAGGAAGAGTATCTGGTTTTGAAAAAACAGATTGAGATCTGAGTGTGCCGCTGTGAGATGATGCTTTATTCCTCAAGCATCTACTTATAAGGGTGCTTACCACTTAAGTCACCGCATCAAATGAAGACATGGAAGTGCTTTACCGCATTTGAAATAACCTTCTAAATGCATTTGCTTGCAGTTTAACAGGACTTGACCCAATTGATTTAAAATAGAAATATTTACAGAGTTATTTACTGAGAAGTAACTTTGACTTTTCTCAAGACAAACGGCTACTTGCTGGACAGTCACAGTTTAACAGAGACAAGTGAAAGAACTTCAACAGTCTCCATCTGCCCCTGTGGCAAACAACTCTGAGAATAGCTGTGTGGTTGTGACAGTGCATAAGGTGGAGCGTTTTTTTTCTCTCTTCTCTCCACTATATTTATCAAGATAAACAATAATCTCCCAAAGACCTGGAGGTGATGCGTAGGTGTGTGCCTGTATGTGTTTTTCTGCTGGTGTGCTATCACTTAGCAACTGAATGGCTCAGTCTCTAATTAAACAGCATCCCTCTGAGACACTCATACACTCCTACGCAAAGCCATCATGTATGTGCACACGTGTGTGTGTAAAATTTTACAGAAACATGTTGATATGTATGTGCGAACACTCGTGTATGTCTCAGTTAGAGGCAGGTCCCCCTGTGATCACACTCATGTCTCTAAGGAGTGGACCAGTGATCAGTTCAGTTATTCCTCAGAGATATTGAGTTTTGCCCACACTGCTGTTCTCTCAGTTCTAAACCAATTTATAGTGTTTTAGACTAAAATGAACTGCAACACCTGTTTGCTTTTCACAGATTGGATTGCTTCTTTTTTTTCCTCAAACTGGATTTGCATCTGAGACCATTTTAATTGCTTTTTCTGCTCACTGCCTCATTTTTTAAAAACATGATTTAGTTTGTTTTTAATGTTTTTTTACACTCCAATGTGACATATTTTAAATTAAGCTCAGGACTGAAGAATATTGCTTGTTTCCATAAAGCAAATGTCCATGCGTTTCTGTGTGTTTATCTGCGTCTTGCCGTGTGTTTTTGCTCCTCGGCCTGACGCCCAGGTTTGCCGCGAGTTCCAACGAGGCAACTGCGCCCGTGGCGAGACGGACTGCCGCTTCGCTCACCCCAGCGACAGCCCCATGATCGACACCAGCGACAACACGGTCACCGTCTGCATGGACTACATCAAGAGCCGCTGCTCTCGCGAGAAGTGCAAGTACTTCCACCCCCCAGCTCACCTGCAGGCCAAGATTAAGGCCGCTCAACACCAGGCCAACCAGACAGCTGTGGCAGCGCAAGCTGCCGCCACAGCTGCAGCCATGGTGAGAACACCATGCCCACACAGAGGAGTAGCAGTAGACACTCACACACACACTTGTCTTGTTTCTAATGCAGTAACTGATCAGATTTTACAAGGTTTCTGCTTTTTTTTTTTTTTTTTAGTGTGTAGACATAAAGAGCCTTTAAAGTCTTTTCCTCCATGTGCAGCGTTCTGTTTTCTTTTTGATAACGACGTAGACTGTTATTTATACTAACGGGGGATGCCGATATGTTTGATCTTTATACATAAATGTGGCATTAGGCTTCTTTTTTTCAGTGTAAAGCTAAAGTAAGTTAATTAGTGTAATTTAGACACAAAAAGAATATTCAGGTTTTCTGGTAAAAAGCTGCGGTGCCTTCATAGGGTTGTCTGACAAAGCACAGCCTGTTTGAATTGGAGATCAGAGACTTTTTCTTATGTCATGAATACAAATATATCACTAAATATTACATTTTTTATTTTTGGATTAACTTTGATTGAAACTTCTGATCTTAAGAATATTTGTAATACTTGTTAAATCCAAAACACATAATGATGCACGTGGCATTTTTGCAAATCATCTGGGCCAGTAGAATATGAGAATATGAAATGACACATCTAGCAACATGAAATGTGGAGCACTGCTTTATTACTGTACCAAACATACCCATCTCTGCTAGTTTATTCCTTTGGACTCCAGTCCCACTAATCGTAGTTATCCCCGAGATAAACAGGGTTTTAGTGAAACCTAACCACGTCAGTTTAACACTGTAAGAACAACCTGTTATAATCTCATCGCAGTCCTCTCATTTTCCGATGCCCTTGGTTCATACGGAGACAATGCGCTGCCTCCCCCCCATCCCACTCCGCTGCTCTCAGTCATAAGTGCTGCTCTGCAGATCAGTGCAAATTTAATCAGGGATGGATGAGGATGTAGCATGCTGGGGGGGGGGGTTACACTCCGGTGCCCTTAGCTGAAAAAGACCCCAGCAACAATTAGCGTGGCACAGACAGAAAGGTAGACAAAGAGGTGGACACTCAGGCAGACAGCGTCTCAGCTGTTCCCCCACCTCCCCACCAGCGGCTCTGAGGGGCTTCCAGTGAATGGTCCTTTGGCTACTGCACTTGCACACCTTGCTCTGCGCCAGTGTGATGTCTGACTCTTTCTTCCATGGCATGGGCATGTTTTATGCGTTGCACATACGTCTCGTCGGCTGCTCCATTGCTGCTTGCTCTCCCTCTCCTTCCCGTCTGAATCAACAGTGTGGATTTTGGGGCATATGTGAGCGCAGGTTAGTTGTATTTGAAAACATAAATAGATAAAAACAACCCTTTGTGAAGGAAAGCATTAGATTCAAGGACTCGATAACCTTACTTTCACCTCAGAGTGCTGTGATCTTAAACATGTAGCCATTTGCTAAACTCCACAGCGCGGTGCCGTTGTTCACCAGTCTTTGCTTCAAACATCACCTGTGTTCCTCGCGTACTCTAGTTTATGGACTTTATGACCCGATTCCCACCTTACGTTCAGCAGTTACAGCCTGCGCTGGAGGTGAAGAGGGTTATCCTCAGGACAATAAGTTGTCAAGTCAGCACCTTTAATCCAATTTTCTCTTAGCTCTTAGCCTAAGCTGCGGCACTTTTATTGAAGCGGGGATCCATAAAACCTATTCTGATGCCCTGCTGCAAATAGGTAATATCATTACCCATAACTCATTCTTTTAAAATCTGAAGCAAATCCGATAGTGTACAGTAGATAAGATTACACATGAACTAATGCAGTAAAATCGAGTTACTAAGGTTCTGTTGTTTTACTGTGCCACATCATGTGTTGCTTGCCGCGCTGTGATCTTCTTCTGCATTGTGAGTTAAATGCAGTCATCTTTGCTTTCCATGTCACTTGATTAGACCATCTTCCATTTGAACTAACCACCGTGTTAAAGTCTGTTAACTCCTCAGCGCATCAGCAATGCATTGTTCTTCTTTGACAGGATAGAGAATTTGACATAGATGATATAAATCCACATACATGAAGCAAGAGGCTTGTGCATGGAACCCTGAAGTACAGCGATCCCCACATCCATGTCATCTTTTTTTCTTTCCAGCAATGACAGCAAATATAAAGACATTTTTAATAGATTGAAATAAAAGTCGTTATGTCCTTGTCAGGTTTATTCCCAACTAATATGGATTCCGTTGATAATAGAGTTTAAATACCTGTAGAGTTTAAGATGTTTTGTATCTTTTCATTTGGAAGAAATTTAAGAATAAACAGAGCTCCACATTCTTTTTTTGAAATGATAACTTGTGTCACTTTACCAAGTGCATTGATCACACTAACAGCCTACTCTCACTAATGCTGCAGTTTCACTGAGAAAGTCTCTTTAGATGGGCATTGACAGCACCTTAGAGGGATGTGAATGCTAAGATACTTTCTGTTAGGCTTGTTAGCACTGATCATTGCAGCTAACGGAAGCAGACGTGCCTGTAATTTTTCTAATCTCGAGTTTAAAATCTGCTCACACTAACATGTCCAGCTTTCTCTGCCATTAACGGGGGCAGAGTTGAACCATGTGAAGGGTTTGATCTGACCTCGCTCACATCCCAATCTGCTGTGCGTGCTTTTTGACATTTTCACAGGCCCAAAATCAAACAGAGTAAAGCAGAAGCACTGGATCTCTGGTGTGCACAGGGCTGTAGTGTTGTTCTTTGAAGACTGAGTAGACCCTGTGTGCAGTTCTGAAGCTAGAATTTGAGTTGGGTTCACTTTCCTGCTTTTTGTTTTTTGCATAGATACTTAAAAGGGTTACTTTTTCAGACATAGCAGTCGTTACTACTAAATGCTTTCTCAGTAGTTTTGAAGTACATCTTAGAAACTTGCTTTTTTTTAACCAATTGTTAATATAGATGCTTTTGTTTTGCTTTTGTACTAATTCAAACAAATAGCAATGGTTCTTTAAATTAAACAAAACAATTTTTTGTTTATGTGCATGCCTATTGTTTTGTATGTGGTATACTTGCATTCAGATTATTTTTGTTTTTGTTTTTTTCCTTCTCACCTATCCACAATGCAATGCTGTCCCCCATGATGCACCTCTGCTTGCTGTTACCTGTATGTTAATACGCTTGAATCCCATTGGCCCACTGCCATCATGTGCTCGCTGCCTGCTAATTAAAGACTCAGTCGACTGCCAAAGCAATGAAGCGACCCCTCGAGGCAACTGTAGACCTGGTACTTTGACCTTTCACCTTTTGCTTTGCATGTAGCTTCTTTAATTGTACTGTAGCCACTCACAGAATTTAATTTGGCTGTTTTGTTTTTTGTGAAACCCTGTAAGAAAAGTAACTGTTTAGACATTAATCTTATGTGATCAGCAGTGCAAATTCTAGACTGTACTTACATTAATGAACAAATGCAAAGTAATGTTAAAGTAATCCCAGCTATCACAATACTTTCTTTAATGTGTTGTTGCTATGATGTAGTCTCTCATCGTCCTTGTGATAGTTTAAGCGAGTTTCCATTTCTGCCTTGTTGTGCTGTGCGTAGAAAATTAACAGAATTAGAAAAATATTTGTATTAACCGCCAAGAGTTTACAGTTCAAACCCGCTGTGCCTCTGTTTGTGTGTTTTCCGACGGAAAGGCGTTCCCCCACGGCGTCCTACAGCCCCTACCAAAGAGACAAGCACTTGAGAAGAGCAACGGAGCGAGCTCCTTGTTCAACCCCAGTGTTTTGCACTACCAGCAGGCGCTGGCCAACGCACAGCTCCAGCAGCCCGCTTTCTTTCCCACAGGTAAGCTCTCCACTGAACGGCACACAGGTGAAGGCGCTCCTGGGTACGTGGAGCATGCGTACGCTTACAGATACCTCTCAGGAGTCCTCCAGCCGTTCCCAATACTATCTTTTACATTTCTTATTGTTAAATAGGGTTTAGTCTTGTATTTCCTTTAGAAATGGAATCATGAGAACGGCGCATGCGAAGGGTGCGGGTTTGTGTTTGAACCGTTCACCACGTCATACCTTCACCCTGATTTACCACCTGCTCATAAAAACACATAATGGCTGCCAGGTGGAGGGGCAGTGGAGGCTTTGATCGGAGCAACAAAACATAAGATATATCACCGCCTCAATGCGATACACCTGCCACTCGAATGCCTGAGCACTTAAAAGAGCCGAAACATCCCAACTGTTCAGCACATGATCTGGGCCTATTTTTATTTTGGATCCACGTGAAGGTCCAGAGGAGCGTGCATTTGATTTGTCCAAACAGACACTGACGTTTGAAGTTTAATGAAAGAAAAACAGTTTGGTTCCATCTTTCCCAAATTAATTAAGGTCCGCTGCCTCAAACATAAACGAGCCGTGGCTTGTTGGCCCTCTGGTTATTAGCAAAACGAGTTAACTGCAGCTTTTATGGTATCACGCAGAGACACATGAGGATAACACTCCCCTCCCTCGCTCCTCTTGCTACTTGCTTTGTTTGGATACTTTGGTGCGAGATCCCTATTGGCTCTTAATTTCTGGGTCTGTCTTTGTCAGGCTCCTTATTTTTTCCGTTAAACTGGAAAGTTTCAAACGAGCGCGGTTTGTGAACAGTGTTAAAAGAGCAGATAATTGTTGTCTCTTGCACTACGTCAATGCCTGTGATGCACTGGACCCCACCCATCTTAATTTGATCCTGATTTGGAATGAAGCCCATGCACATCATTGTACTGACAATGCATGATGCTGCTGTTTGGCTCACCTCTTCAGTTTTATTTTCTCCCTCTTTTTTTTCTTTGGTTTGATTATTTATACCTCAGCTTGTTTATGGCTCATACGTATATGAAATGTCCTTTGTTGCAGCAATTTAATTGCTTAGAAAAGGGTTAGAAGACAAAGGACAACGTTAGTTTGGGAAAACTATTTGAATGATTTTTAAAGATTTTGAACAGTCGTGTGTAAAATGTTTCCAAAAATCCAAGCCATTTTACTAAGGAAAGATTAATTAAATGCAAGCATTTGTTTCAAGTTCTTACACAAATTCCAGGGTTCACATTTAAAAACAGTCAGCAGCTTTGCAACTAAACATGGCTTCCTATGAATCGTAGGCGTTTGCTTTACATTTGACTTGTAGTTTAGACATGATTTTTCATCTAATAGAATGAATAGGAATTCTTGTGCTTGCTTCTGCGTACGGCTTCCCTTATTAGCCGACATCGCTGCTGTAACAGTAGCCTGTGAGCTGAGTGAAGGTTTTTTTTTGTGTTGTCTAACCTTATCGTTCTCCTCCCCCTCAATTAACAAATTTCTTTCCTCCTCTCTCCCTCTCTGTCTCCCTCTTTCTTTCTCTGTCGTTCTGTGCATGAACACAACAGGGTCAGTCTTGTGCATGACTCCTGCTAGCAGTCTTGGTAGGTCCTGACTTTCCCACTTCTCTCTCACACACTGTCTGATTTAGGTGGGGGTGGGAGGGGGCGGTGTCTGCAGCCTCTTGCAGGTGAGATAAAATGTCACCGCTTCATCGCGCCAGTCTCTTCAGGCGTCGATGAAACTCATTCTAAACATGCCGTTTGTTTTTTATTCGTTAAACTGTGTACTTTTTTTACCCTGAGATCTGAAACACACCTTTCATGTGCATTTTGTATCACCTGAGGGAGTCGTGACTTAAAAATCCTGTTTCCCGACCGACTGACTTTCTTGCGAATGACTGTTTTATGATTCAAGTTTTAGTTTGATCTGATCTGTTCTTAAGCTCTTGAATAGCTTCTGTTTGCATTGCTGTGTTAATCAGGAAATTGAAATCAGTTTCCCAGAGAAATTACTCGAAAACTGGGGCTTTTGTGTCAGCTAAAGGGGATGGGAAACGCAAAGATTCTCGTCCACCTTACGGGCACAGACAACAGTATGGTCAAACTGAAAAAATATTGCATGGTTTTGGCATGTACGATGAAGTAGCTGCCCAGCATTTCTCTGCTGCTCAACTCGTGTCGACATGGACTAAACAAACTCAAATGACCATCCCTGCTGCCAAAAATCGAAGCATCTCGTGCTCCTTAACTTCTCTGGGAAAAACAGCAGACTGATTTTCCGTATAAATTTCCTTACTTGTGATTGTAATCAGCTTCTCTCCTCTTGTTTTTTGTTATTTTTTCTCCCATGCTCTCTTTCTTTTTTTCTGTCCTCCTTGCTTTGCATTGTGAATGGTTGCATACCATCTGCCGGTGTAACCCTAACGATGGCTTGCTGGCTCTCTTGTCACAAACGCCACCATCAACAACAACAACATCAACAACAACAACAACAACAACAACAAACTTTACCGTCGACACACACGCCACAACTGTTCCCACGGTTACCATAACGCTCCACCTCCCTGTCCATTGCTACCACCTCTTCCCCCCTCCCCTCATTCCTCCTCCCTCTCCCCTTTCCTACCCTCCAAAACAAAGTCCCAATGATGTACAGTGCTACGCCTGCTACTGTCTCTGCAGCAACAACTCCTGCCACAAGTGTCCCCTACGCAGCAACAGCACCAGCCAATCAGGTTTGCTCCTTTTAAAGCTTTCTTTCATCAGTCCCCGGAGCTCTGAATAAGTGCTGCCTTCTAATAGCGAGCCGCAATAACCTGCAGCTGAGCCCACACCCAGCCTCTCCCCAATCATCTGTGTGCCTGCACAGGGTGAGCTCACGCTGGCATGAAAGCCTTTGAGTGGGTGTTTTCCAGACAGTCTGAAGCAGAGGGACTACCTGAGCAAACCAATGCCAGCCCAGTGCTTCTCACCACCTCTGAAGCGCGTTAAGCGCTCATGAAAAGCACTTCTTCAGAGCTCCCAAATTTGCAAGTAGTAGTTGTGTTATGTTGCACCACTTCCTGGTTTTGTTTTGCATGTTCTGGTCTGTTTTACTTTCTACTTTTCTCGGTGTTGTCAAATAAGCCTCTCCATCTGCGTTAGGGACATCATCCGTACTGCTCGTGTGCTGCGCAAACACACACATTAAAGCATATACACACAGCCGGTTCGTACCAGCGGCCACGTCGAATCTATTCCCGTTTCCACTTTTCCCCGTTTCACCTTTTCGCCTCTTCTTGCATGTTGTATTAAAAGGAGGATAAATCATGTGTGGAAAGAGTTCCAGGCTACGCTTGTCAGGGTGAAACAGACGGGAAAAATGATCAGAGAAGCCGTCTATAAATGGCTTCTGAACGGTGGCTCTCCTGTTGCCGCGTACAGGCAGGAGCCAGGGAGGCAGAGCCAGGTTTGAATGCCAGAGTGACGCAAGCGTGGCCCATTTTAAACCTGGAAATTTCAGCACAATGCAGGCACTCTGGCCTCACGCAGGCAGCTGGCAATCATTTACAGGCAGATCCGAGGTGCTTTGAGGACACAGATGAACAGATGAGATGGATTCCACATGTTGAAATGTAACTGCCAGATAATCGTCATTTTCAGGGAGCTCAGAAAAATTTCCATCACGGCGCATGTATAAATCATGCAAATACAGAGTCAAAGGGATAATATTTATTTTTAGAATGTCTAAGGATTCTTCTCTATCGGTTAAATCAAATCAAACATCACGTTATTACATGACAAACTAATACAACCCTCACAAACACGGCCTATCTCATCTGACATGAAAAATGAGAAAAGTGTGATTTATTTTTTTTTAAAACATAGATGAAGAAGCAAAGCTGTATTGTCGAATAAAAAAAAATCTGCACGTCTCCGAAAATTGCCTCCTTCCACGGTGATTCGCGGCCCGAGCACTTCTCGTAGGCTCATCGCAGGCCGGCGGTGCACGCACTTCCTGTGAGTCACCATCTCTTCCTGTAATTGGCATGCAGGAGGAGTAGCAGCAGGAAGCAGAGCTGCTCTTTAAAGATGCATGTGGGACAAGGAGCTGGAGAAACACTGACGTCAGCCTCTGCTGTCTGTCTCCGTCTGTCCTCTGCTCCCCCCCATCCCTCCATCCTGCCACGCAGCCAGGACACGGTTAACCCGCGCCACCGTCGGCCCACCCGCACACAGAGCACGCCTTGTTTACTCCAGTCATCTCAGTCATGTGGTTTTCTCCAAAAGACATCCAGAGCCCTTTTTTCTGCTTTATTAAGGGCACATGCGGCTGAGGTCACCGTTCTTGGCAAAACAGTCTCACTCGTGCACACTCTTGATTTGTGCTGCGAATAATATATGCCTTTATCTTTGAGGACTTGATCGGGCATCTTCATTTATCATTGCATCTAAGATGCGATCCTTCAGGGGCCAGGATGTCGCAGACATGCGGAGAGGTTCTAGTCGGCCCTCTGAACTGTTCACGTGACTTGACAAGCAGGAGCCAATCGCATCTCTCCATGTCTGAGTATATATTAGCCATGTGCTGCCGTTGCTGTGGTCCGTGGTCACGTCACCGCTTTAGCTGTAGATCATGAGGCCACGGCGCCATCTGCTGTTCGAACACCGCCCCTTCTGCCAGCCTATCATTCCTATGGAAAGTCGAGGTTTTTAAACTGGAAACAGAGGACAGATTTTTCCGTACAGCAGAGCTTCATTTAAAAGAAGCGTGGTTCTCTGGGTTCCAGTGCACCCTCCAACAGTTCACCGCTCCCCTGTAGTGACCACATCATCGCCATCTGCCCTCCCACTAACTTTCTGACCGGCCAGAGCTCCGGACAGCTTTTCGCTTTTGTTTGTTACACCCATCTGCTCCACTAAAATGTGTCTCATGTTTGCACCCAGCAGTGAGGAGCGTGCGCATCACACGGCGTGCTGACCTCTTACGATGTGTGGCGTGAGCAGTGGCTTCTGTCCTTTGTGTGTTAACAAACAGCATGCGGCTTTGTTCTGCGCGGGCTCGCTGCCAGCAGGCCACCGCGTGAGGCCGCCAGCAGCTCTACCTGTCCCCCCTCCCTCAAAAGACTGTCTCTGTCTCACTGTCTCTTCTTCTGTCGCTTTCTTTTCTGCCGAGTGACGGACTCGATTTTATTTCCAAACTAAAGGAAATTCTTTGGCCTGGGCTCTTATTTGATGGAGAGGGGCAGCTGCAGTCTCCACAACTCGACGACAGCTCAGCAGAAAAATGACGTTTATTGATAACATTCATCTGATGATCTGTGTGATCTGGGATGTTGCTGTTGTGGTGACGCAGTGTGTCTCAAAGTAACAAGCTTATTCCAAGTGCCACTGCAGCTCTGGTGAATCGGGAACAGATGAAAATAACACAAAGAATGCTGTCTTTGCTTTACCGCTCCCTTTCCAATTTTTTCTCTTCTTTTCGTTGATAGCATACATTTCATCCAGTTTTACACCAAGGTACAAGACGCATTTTACTGTTGTGAAGTAGCCCCAGTACGCCTGATCGGGACGAGTTTGAAACGTGAGAGACAAAAGCTACATGTTCAAATAGAGCCAAACACCAACCTTGTTTCCAGTAAATTCTCGTCGCTTGAGTCGATATGTTTAAAAATTATGCTGTTATCGAACATAAGCTTGCGTATAGATTGAAAAAAAGTCCCTGTTCTTCAGAAAAACTAAAACTTTTTCTCTCCTTATTTGTGTCTGTATCTGTCCTGCAGATCATCCTGAAGTAAGCATGGGGAAGAGAATGGAGTGTCACGAAGCCGCACTAGGAAACCCAAAACAGCCCCTCTGTAAATACTACCTTGCCTCTCCCATAGAGGTCCAGCAACCTGCATGCTAAGAGTGTAAAAAAACTTCAATTTAACCGTAAGAACTGCAGTGCCGGTGTAACACACAGAAAAGATATATACTGTATGTATTGCTAGGAAAAACAACTCTTAACACGAAAAAAATCAAAAATATTCTTATGTATAGTGCACACATAGCAGATACACTATAGAGGTCATTTAACAACCGTTCTCCAGAAATACCGTGGATTCCTCCTTTTGCTTATTTATTCAAAAACACAATGATGCACAGCGTTCATCCCTTTGGTTCGTTGGAACAGATGTTTGGTTCGCACGGTGCGCGTAATGTTGAAAACAGGAAGTCACCGAAAACCCCGGCACACCTTGGCACTCGCCGCCGATTGGAGGGCTTTCATTTCGCGCTATTTGCTTTTCTCCACACAAAGAATGAATGTCCTCGGAGCAGACAGGCACAGCCACAACAGAGTCCTTCCAGGACCCCCCCCCCCCACCCCCCCCCCCCCCCCGCTCCAAATGCTGTTAAGATGCCATTATGAAGTCCACCCCCCCCTCCCCCTGCCAACATTTCATCGGTGGAAAGATCTTGCCAAAGTTGCAGCTTGGAAAATGGTGGAATCAGACCTGCCAAACAGCAGAGCCCCTTTTATTAACGCCCTCCTAAATTCTGCTTTTTGAAACATTTTGCCCCTTCTGCAAATACAGCCTGCTTGCCATTTCTTTGTTCTGATGCTGGCCTCAGTCTGTTTGGGAGGAGGAGTTCAGCCCAAACAGGAGAAGACGGTGCCCAGCGTAGACGGAAGATAATCGTGGCCATTACCGAAAAGCCTGAAGGCTCGGGTCTGTGCCAAGGGCTCAGCAATGCTTGAGGGTTTGTTCGAGACATACCAAGCCTTGTGTGTTGGTGCGTGTGTGTGCGCGCATGTGCGTTTGTATCTGGAAACTGATGGTCTGCCGGCAGACTGCGACTTAAAGCGAGGACCACACCAGGCCTGGTAGGAGAGGTGTATTTCTTATTTTTTCTTGGGGGAGGGCGATGACTTTAAATGCTAATATTAAACAACAACAAAAAAATTCAAATAAGAAAAAAACATAACAAAAAAAAAAACGGTGCATTCGACGACATTCGTCAAGCAAAAAGGTGACTTGAACTTCGACTGGAGGGCTATCTGTGACCGTCGGTTGTCCTGTCCAACCCTACTATCACCGATAATCCTGTTCCATTTTAGAAAACTGTAGAAGTGCCTAAAAAATGTTCATCGACTACACACACACACACACACACCCGGAGCAGATCACAACACACCGGCTCTCAGAAACTTGGTGGACTTCTCGGGAAAGACCTCACATTTGTTACCAGTTTTCTGGTAACCGCTCATTAACATCACAAGTGACTTTATCGAAAGGAGAGAAGTGAAAGAAACGACAAATCAAAAATAGCTTTGTAGAATGTTTGGTGACTTTCACGGCGTACCATCGTTTCTCACATGGGTTCGAGTAGTTTACAGGAGGAACGTGAGTCAGAAAACAATGTATTGTAAACTGTGTAATGTATGTGAAGTGTCTCTCATTTTGGAGGTTTATATTCATGGTTCTAGAATTGTAATCAGAATTATTTAAAATTTGTGTTGTCTACTATCAAGATGTGTTTGAACCCCCGTCAAAAGCCTCCCTTCCTCCACTTCCCAAAACAATCATTTCTTTTTTGGATCTTAAAATGTTTTTTGTTTTTTTTTCGCTCCCATTAATATTCTCCTTCGTATTCGATTTTTTTTTCCGTCATTCACAGTTTATCTCAACTCATAATGCTAAATTAGACTATTCTCAAAATTCTGATGTAAATTCATGGTGCTTTATTTACATTGACAATCTACTGTTCTACATTTCACCATGTCGGTGTCATTCCCCTGCATTCTGACCTGTGTGTAAAACTAGTGGAGGGTGGTTAAAGTCCTATTTGGTTGTAACTTTTCTTCTGTTACACTTGGTCGATTTTTTGTTTTTTTGTCTAAAAAAATGGAAGAAAAAAAAACTTATGTTGTAAACTATTCTATTTTGAAATGAATGTAATTTATTAAGCTGCACGGGTGGTCGTTTGGGGTTGGAAGCCGTCGGTCAGCGAATGGGGAGTGGCACACGTGTGCGGGCCGGCGGCTCAAAGCCCACCGGCCCACAGAAAGCTAACGGATCTTTCTCGCCTTCTCATCGACTAAAAAGATCCCAGTGTTGCAGTAACGAGCGTCGTCGTAGAGTTGCTTGTGTTGTTGGGGGTGGGGGGGGGGGAGTTTTAATGTATAGAAGACATTTTACCAAAAAAAAAAGAAAAAGCAAAGAAAAATGAAAAAAAGATGTACTTTTCACTCTAGTATGATAGTATTTCATAACAATATTAAGTTGTTGCTGTGGCAACCAAATGTTGCAATTACTAAAGTTGGGTATTTTTGTAAATGACATTAAGTTTTTTGTTTTGATTTTTGTTTTTGCTAGAACACTGTACACAAGGTAGATTGTAAAGAAGATACAAACATTTCTTATTATGGCAACGACCTGATATTTTCATTAGCAAATAACAGCCCTGTAGTGCTGTGACTGTAACACTTATAGATTTAAAGTCATCAATGTTATATAGATTACTCATGAATCGAAATCAATATATACATATTTATATATAGATATATATATAAAAATGATATATATGTAAGAACGAAATATTCTATAAAGGAATAAGTTCAGATGTAAACTTTCTGCCCCCTGAAAAAGGCCCTTTAAGTTCCACACTGAGACATTTTATTTGAGGCAATGTATGACTAGAGTTTAGGATTGCACTTTGTTTAAAGACGTGGTTTTGTTTCTCTTTAAGGGTTTTAGACGTCTCGGCACTCTGTCCGTACAGTCATCAGTCGAAAGCAACGAGGATTCATTTGAACTGAACTTGTTGTTGCATGGGAGTACAACAGTTTCTTTTCTTACTTAATGATAACGTAATGAATGTTTCTAGTGGAAAAAGTGTACAAAAAAAGACAAAAAAACGTCTTCATTTGGTGACCCACGACACACCCTCTGTGTATGGATTCCTCTTGAGATGTAATGTTTCTTGAAATGTGTTTGCAACGATTGACTGATGGTTAAAAGACAAATGTAAGCACTTTCTGAGCAGTTGGTCAACTGAGCAGACTCAGCTTATCCAAACACTTTGCCTTATCTTGAGTCCATCGTGCTTAAGGTTTTATGTTTTAAGAGCTCTTAAGAAATGTATTAAAACAGACTTGAACGGCTCACTGTCCTCAAATCCCTTCCGAGTTTCATTTCAAACATGAATCTTTATATCGGAAATAATTTTTTAAGGTTTTGATGTGTGCACCACAAAGCCAAAAGGGAGGGCTGCAACACAACAGAACAGTCGCCGGTCTCTTACTTTACTGATCTCCTGGACCTGTAGTGACATCTTTTTGTGCCATTGCCTTACAATGGAAGTGATGGAGCATGCAATTCACAGCTTACGCCAGCAGAGGGCGCTGCAGCAGAGTCTGGAGGTTGCGAAGGGACTGACAGTGTCAGGATAGTTGCAGTCCACCTCACCAACAAAGAGCTGAAGTCAAATTGACCAGAGGACCCTCATCGGATTTATAGTTTCAATGTAATCCTTTTCAATGTATTCTTTTTACATATATTTTGTGCTATTTTCTGTTTATATAGTCAAATGTTTCTTTGGTTCCAGCAAGATAGTGTAAAATCTATTGAAAGAAAGAAATAAAGAAAATCAAATTACTTAATCTTTGGGTCATAGTCTCCATCATTTCCATCAGCAACTGTGTTCCTAGACCGTTTTTTCACTTGATGTAATAACAGCCCTTCTTTTAAGCGTTCAGCACTGGCTCTGGAAACCCTCTCCTCCAAAGGTAAGTGCACACCAGCTATTATGAGCAGATGACTGGATTGCTTGCATTTAGATGGATCGTATGGAAGCTGGCGTCAAGGATGGCAGGCGCGATGATAAAGCCAAGGAATGACACAAGTAAGCTCTTCTACATTATTTATTTTCTATGTCATTTCCTGTCTTGCGGCTTCAGAAAAAAAGAAAAAGAAAGTATGAGGGGTTATCCGTGCCACTACTGTAACAGCCAGTAATGTTGATCTTAACAAGTTGTACTTTAACTCATGGATGGAGATCTTTTCTCATAGCAGGTGCTTAATGCAAATGCCGTTTAGTCACAGTACTCACAAATTCCCAAAGTCAACATCAGCTGAAATGTAACAGTCTGAGCCCACGTCACCCTAAGGTCCAGGCGAGCCCACTGAGTCCTCAGCAGGCCGGCTGCCCTCTGCTCTGCTCTGCTCTGTCAGGTGGACCCAGTCTGTTGGGTGATGGAGGTCTGGGCTCTGGGGAGGATTCGGCCCTCCATCAGAGCTGTCACCACTGATTTTCAGCCTTTGGTTCTTGTGCCTTTTTTCCATCCTGAAGAAAAGCTTCTTGACAGAAATCCCTGGCTGGAGCCAACAGACCCTGGACCAGCCGAAGGGCCAGAGGCATCTCTCAGCTCGGGTCCGGTGGGAGTCTCTGATGGATCAACCCCTTTTCCACAGAATCTGTCAGGTGATGTTCATCTCCTGCAGGAAGACGCTCCAGTGCTGTCTGCTATCTCTTTGTCCACTGAGCCACTGATGTTTTGTTGTTGACAACCAACTTTTTAACTAATATTTGGGAGTCATCTTGTTGTTTCCAAAATACTATTTCCTGTGTCAGACTTTGAAACGGGCTGCTGGTAACAAATTGGCAAAGAAAACAAGTTTCATGTGAATTTATGTTACGTTGAGACAAAAGTGGCTCATCCCTTAAACATGGGTTCTTTTGCAGTGACTTGACAACGCTCATAACTCTGAGAGGGGTCAAGTAGCTACAAGAACTAAAGTGAAAATGAGAGAAAAAGCAGCCAGCGTTAGATTAAATGAAGGGCGTTCTTAAAAACTGTTCCTCAGGACCACTTTAAAACAGGGAACTCTGCCTGCTTCCAGAAACCCAGGAGTTGTGAGGGGCTCCAGACTGTTGCTCAGCATGGAAACTGCAACTGGAGTGGTCCATCAGAACCGAGGGGGGGGGGGGGGGTGCAGGGAATAATGACTGGATGGCTATTTGGGTGAATGACGGGTAGTGTTTGTTTTGTTTTTGTTCATCTGTTTCAGCTGTATTTGTTATATATTAACAGTTTAGTCTTTGTCCTGGATTCGTTGGCTGCCGAACACGTCACTTTTTCCCAACCCCTCTCCTCCTCCTCTTCCTCCTCCTCCTCCTCCCTCTCCTCCTCCCTGTTTGCTCATGGCACTAATCACCCTCCATATCCTCCAGGAAATAGTACCATCCATCCAGTGGATGCGCTGACTCCAGAGGCGTGGATTCCCAGCCCTGCTGTGTGGTTGAGGTTCGGTGGGCCCTGTGCCTGTGACTCTGGTGCAGAGGATGCAGCGCTAGCCTTCTGCTCCGTCTGCGCGCCGCTCCCAAAAATGTGTCGTCTGCGCGTCTCTGATCACAACCAGTCTTGTTTTCCCCAGCACGCCGCCGCCTTATTGCATTATGGATGCCTCTGGAACGGTGTCCCTTCGAGATAGCGTGGGAATCTGTGAGTAGAGGCTTTGGCTGTGCGTCTGGGGGCTAAATGCTCCAGCATCCGTCCGCCGGCCGCCTGTAACCGACAGAGTCTGCTCTGAGTCCGGGTCCCGGCCCCCGGTCCCGGGGATGCGCCTCCTCCCCCCGCTGCGGAAGACGTGCTTCTCTGCTGGATGCCGGGTCTGACCCCGCGGGAGGGCTAGGCTATGCGGGAGTACAAGGTGGTGGTGCTGGGGAGCGGCGGGGTGGGGAAGTCCGCCCTCACGGTGCAGTTTGTCACCGGGACATTCATAGAGAAGTACGACCCGACTATTGAAGATTTCTACAGGAAGGAGATCGAGGTGGACTCGTCTCCGTCGGTGCTGGAGATCCTGGACACGGCGGGCACCGAGCAGTTCGCCTCCATGAGGGACCTCTACATCAGAAACGGCCAAGGCTTCATCCTGGTCTACAGTCTGGTCAACCAGCAAAGTTTTCAGGACATCAAGCCCATGAGGGACCAGATTATCCGGGTCAAAAGGTAAGCCTCTCTCTGCTGT